TCAGGGGTCAGATAATTCCATCCCCTCCAACATTCCTCCGATGGAAACACGGACGTCCTAAGGAAAAGTTGGACCTTCTTGGATCAAATCAGAAACTGGGACGGCTTCTCTAAATCAGGGACTGTGCCAGGAAAACAAGGACACTTGGAGGTCCTGTCTACTGGGAAGTTTTTAATGTTTAATGTTTTACCGTGTTTTTAATATTCTGTTGTGAGCATCCCAGAACGGCTGGGGAAACCCAGCCAGATGGGTTGGATATAAATAAATTATTATTATTATTATTATTATTATTATTATTATTATTATTATTATTATTATGGCACTTTCCAGATCCGTACTTTCCAGACCCTAAATGTCACATCTGTGTTTGCAAAGCTGACTGGTTCTTATCTGCTACTGGGGCAGTTTTGCGGTTCAGGGAAGCCATAATGAAGCCTTCTGCCTAAAACCTTTGCTATATGGGAGGGGAAGCAGTTACAGGAAAGCAAAGGAAATTGTTGAAAAGCCTGGAAAAGTTTGTTAATAACAGCTGCCCACTTGGGTCCACCCAGGCCTAGATGCCTTCGGGCCGGCAATCAGATGGATTCCAGAAAGGCAAGGGGAGATCCCCTTCTTCTGGAGCCCAAAGACTGAAGCGGCCTCAATGGGGGGCCGTCGTTGAGCTACTTAGTCCATGAGGTTCATACACAATACAAAATCGTGTGGAGATGGAAGATGTCCCAAGGGTCATCTAGTCCAACCCCCTGCAATGCAGGAATAGCATCTGTGTTATATATTATGCACGCACAGAATCATAGTTGGAAGGGGCCTTATCTGGTCCAATCCTGCTCTCCAGGATTCCCCACTAGATTCATCACCCAATTCATGTTTGTTTGTTTGTTTGTTTGTTTGTTTGTTTGTTTGTTTGTTTGTGAGGGAAACTGACAAAATAACCTACATGTTGACCAAGGTTTGAGGGAATCTCCTGGAGGTTATTTTGTCAGATTCCCTCAGAAACAAAAAAAAAGGGGGGGAGTGAGGAGTCCCTCAAACCTCAAGTTTAATTTCGACCGTAGCTATTAAGGAAGCCAAATGCTCTTGTAAGCATTCCCACAAATCTCCATTGCAAGGGTCTTCCCTGGTGACTGGGAGCGGCTGCCGAGACACACCAGTCTTGAAAGATCTACATTGGCTCCCAGTACGTTTCCGAGCACAATTCAAAGTGTTGGGGCTGACGTTTGAAGCCCTAAATGGCCTCAGCCCAGTACACCTGAAGGAGTGTCTCCACACCCATAGTTCTGCCCGGACACTGAGGTCCAGCACTGAGGTCCTTCTGGTGGTTCCCTCACTGCAAGAAGTCAAGTTACAGGGAACCAGGCAGATGGTCTTCTTGGTGGTGGCGCCCTCCCTGTGGAACGCCCTCCCACCAGATGTCAAAGAGAAAAACAACTACCAGACTTTTAGAAGACATCTGAAGGCAACCCTGTTTAGGGAAACTTTTAATGTTTAACAGACCACTGTATTTTAATACTTTGTTGGAAGCCGCCCAGGGTGGCTGGGGAGACTGAGCCAGATGGGCGGGGTATAAATAATAAATTATTATTATTATAAATTATTATTGGAGGGGGCCCGAAGCCTTCAAATCCTCACATAACTGAAACTCCTGAGGGGATTCATATTTAGCTGTTCATCTGACTGCGGGCCCCTAGGCGAGGGTATCTTGTGTCCGCAACACTCCCCAGAGCTTTCAGGCCTCAAGGAGAGACAGAAACCGTTGAGGGGTTTTTTGACCCATTTTGCCACCTTCAGGAAAAAGAGCGGGAAACTCCTCAGAGGGAGGCTCCCTTGTTGATCATATATTGATCCCTGCCTGTTCTGAGGAAAAGTGTGTCCCACCTTTTCTCCACAGAAACTTCTCTGGAAACTTTCCAGGATTCCTCTCCAGGCTCCTCATCCCCCCCTTTTTTTTTGTTTTTGAGGGAAACTGACCCAATAACCTCCATGACGACCACGGTTTGAGGGAACCTCCTTGAATCCCCTCAGCACAAAGAGGGAACACAATGGGTTGCCCATGTAACCACAAACTGCCACACCATACAAGTCTCTGACAGCGATGATACAACACAAATCCGTGGCCCAACAACTCCTTGACCAAAATCCCCCCGACGCTTTGGGGTTGGAAAACATGGAGGTGGTCCTGTGTCAGATGTAACCTTGGCTTTATTCATCACAGACCTTACTCAAATCTCACAAACCTGGGATTACTACCTTTTCTAGCAGCTGACAGACTCTGAGGGAAAGGGACAGAGCATCAGCCACCAATGTAGGAAACGAGAAACTAACTTAACCACCTTGTGGGGCATCATAGAATCTTAAGAGTTGGAAGGGACCTTGAGGGTCATCTAGTCCAACCCCCAGCAATGCAGGAATCTCAGCTGAAGCGGCTTGGGAAACATACTGTAGGAAAGAAGTGTGTGTGGGTCAGGCTGTGCCCACTGAGTGCCATTAAAGTGCATTAAAAAAATGTCCCCCTCTCCAAAAACAAAAATAAGAATATTGTTAATGTTGGTTTATAGAAAGTACCGTAGTTTTGTTGGGCGTTATATTGGAGTGGATGAGTTGAATAACGTTTATATATAGCTGACACACGAAGAATCGCAAGTTCTTTATTCTCTTTTTTCCCCTTTCCCTTTCTCATATCTTTCTCTCATTATTTCCTCCCTGTTTCTCTTCCCTTTCCCCCTTTATTCCTTCTCATGCTCTTTTCAAATTCTAATAAAAATTACTCCAAAAAAGAAAAAGAAAAAACAGAATTTTTAATTTAGTGAAGTACAGATTCAGTTTGTGGTGTTTATAAGCTAATAACATTTGTTCCTGCTTTTTTATGACTTGTTTTTGCTTAATTGGCCAATTAGCCTTTATCAATTATTGCTTATTATTCATTACTGGATTTGTGCATTACCTGCACTGGAACTTATAGGTGACTTACATACATTCAAATGGTTTACCCCGGTTGTCAGTTCTGTGAAGCATAGTAAGGTTACCTCTCCACCTGAAGTTCTTTCCACACTCCATGCATTTAAACTGTTTCTCCCCATAGTTCTAGTTACAGGTAGGAAGCCGTGTTGGTCTGCCGTAGTTGAAACAAAATTTTAAAAAATCCTTCCAGTAGCACCTTAAGACCAACTAAGTTTGTTATTGGTATGAGCTTTCGTGTGCATGCAAACATAGTTGGTCTCTAAGGTGCTACAGAAAGGAATTTTTTAAAATTTTGTTTCTCCCCAGCGTGGGTTATCTGATGTAAAGTAAGGTGAGCACTCTGACCAGGGTTTGAAATTAGCAGGGCGCCAGGCATGTTTTTTGCCTAAAGATTCTCCATTTGTGAGCACCTCAGTTCGAAAGCATGTCAAAGTGCAAGTAGATAAATAGGTACCGCTCCAGCGGGAAGGTAAACGGCGTTTCCGTGTGCTGCTCTGGTTCGCCAGAAGCGGCTTAGTCATGCTGGCCACATGACCCGGAAACTGTACGCCGACTCCCTCGGCCAATGAAGCGAGATGAGCGCCGCAACCCCAGAGTCGGCCACGACTGGACCTAATGGTCAGGGGTCCCTTTACCTTTACAAAAAAGTCTGTGTGCCATTTTTTGCATAGAAAGTATGTTAAGGACTTTTGGGGAAACTACTCACCCATCCCTTGCCTGGACCGTCCCTTTTTTCCCCACCTGCCCTGACTCCAACCTTGTGGTGTTGATGTTTAGTCGTTTAGTCGTGTCCGACTCTTCGTGACCCCATGGACCAGAGCACACCAGACACTCCTGTCTTCCACTGGTGGGTGTCATGACACCCCATAAATCACAGGTGCTGGGCTACAAAAAGAGGTGTGAGGGCTCTGTCAGGGTCCTAGAGTCCTCCTACCTCCTTCCCAAAGCCAAGGTAGAACTTTCCAAGCTTTGGGAAGTAGGTGGGAGGGCTCTAAGATTTGGGCCACGCTGTTCTAATATGGAGGCCACACATACAGCTGTTTTGATCTAAGCATCATTTACGTTGATATTTGATGTGCATCTGAGCAGATGGTATCCCAAAGAGCTTCAGCAACAGGGCAACTGAAGAGCTGTTCGGATCACAAAACTTTATTTAGAATAAAAGATAGGGGGAAAGCAAGAAAACGGGTTGAACAGATTACAAAACAAAGCTGCTCAGGTTTTAAGGTCTGGCACCACCATCCCTTTGGAAGGACTGGCCTGTGATTCTTTCCCTATGTGGAGAGACTCATGCAATAAATAAATAAAAAGTCACAGTCAGTTATATTTCCCAACTAGGTACTCTAAGCCACTTGGGGACTCTGAATACTTGATGGGTGAAACCTGAGACACATGAGAGTTTCACTTAAAGAAAGGGCGATAGCAGCATACCAATGCCTTTTGCCACACCTCTGACCAAGTGGCTAAACTTTGCCTCCTTTCCTTCTCCACTTACTGCATTAATAATAATATGCCAGATGGCCAAGACATTAGGCCGAATGGGGAGACCATCTTGGGCAATTAGCATAGCAGTGCTAGGAATTTCTTATTTTTCTTAGAGGCAACAAAACCTATCATCATGCATTTTCAGGTGCCACAAGATGCTTGTTTCTACACTCGTTTCCTCCCTGTTATGGTTCTTCCATGTGTGATAAATACTTCAGTTTCTAGTGAAGTGCTGTTTACACTCAGTGAATCTCAATTTGTTTTTCCCTCTGTAAATTCTTCTGTGTTAAGCGAGTTTGCTGCATTTGCTGCTGTTCTTCATACAGTGGTGCCCCGCAAGACGAATGCCTCGCAAGACGAATGCCTCGCAAGACGAAGGAGTTTTCTGTTTTTTGAGTCGTCCCGCAAGACGAATTTCCCTATGGGCTTGCTTCGCAAGACGAAACATCTTGCGAGTTCTTGCGAGTTTGTTTCCTTTTTCTTAAAGCCGCTAATAGCCGCTAAGCCGCTAATAGCCGTGCTTCGCAAGACGAAAAAACCGCAAGACGAAGAGACTCGCGGAACGGATTAATTTCATCTTGCGAGGCACCACTGTAATCCAATCACTTAGAGGCGTTCTCCCCTGTGTGAGTTCTCAGATGCAGTCAGGTCTTCACTCCCACTGAAGCGCTTTCCACACTCTCTACATTTTAATGGTTTCCCCTAGTGTGGGCTCTTTGATGTACAGTAAGACTTCCGCTATATCTGAAGCTCTTTCCACACTCTATGCAGTTAAATGGTCTCTCCCCAGTGTGGGTTCTGTGATGAAATGTAAGTGCACTCGCACAACTGAAACTCTTTCCACACTCCATGCATTCATACGGTTTCTCCTTCGTGTGGGTTCTTTGGTGTAAAGTAAGTTCACTCCTACAACTGCAGCTCTTTCCACACTCCATGCATTCATATGGTTTCTCCCCAGTGTGCTCTCTTTGATGTACCGTTAGTGCAGTCCTCCGGTTGAAGCTCTTCCCACACTCCATGCATTCAAACGGCTTCTCCCCGGTGTGGGTTCTTTGATGTGTAGTAAGGCTTCCATTCCGACTGAAGCTCTTTCCACACTCCATACATTTAAATGGTTTCTCCCCAGTGTGAGCTCTTTGATGCACAGTAATTGCACTCCTACAACTGAAGCTCTTTCCACACTCCATGCATACATAGGGTTTCTCTCCAGTGTGGGTTCCTTGATGTGCAGTAAGGCTTCTTCTTTGTCTGAAGCTGTTTCCACACTCCATACACTTAAATGGTTTCTCCCCAGTGTGGGTTCTTTGATGTAAAGTAAGTGCACTCTTATAACTGAAGCTCTTTCCACACTCCATGCATTTATGCAGATTCTCCCCAGTGTGCACTCTTTGGTGTATTGTAAGATGGTGATTGAGACTGAAACTCTTTCCACACAGCATACATTTAAATGGTTTCTCCCCAGTATGGGTTCTTTGATGTGCGATAAGCAAACTGCTTGTACAGAAGCTCTTTCCACACTCCATGCATTTATGCGGTTTCTCCCCAGTGTGGGTTCTTTGATGTAAAGTAAGATGGTGATTGAGACTGAAGCTCTTTCCACACAACATACATTTAAATGGTTTTTCCCCAGTGTGGATTCTCTGGTGGGCAATAAGGTTTCCGCTCTGGCTGAAGCTCTTTCCACACTCCATGCATTTGAATGGTTTCTCCCCTCTGTGGGTTTTCTTATGCTTAATAAGGTTACCAGCACTGCTTAAGCTCTTTCCACATTCTGTGCATTGAAACGCTTTCTTCCCCGTTTGGGTTCTTTGATGCAAACCAACGCTTCCACTCTGAGTGAAGCTCTTTTCACACTCCACACTGCTTCTTCCTGTGCATTCCTCCTGTGAGTTCAGGGTTACATGGACACCAATGTCCTGAGTAGTGGAAGACTTCCTTTTCTCATTATTTGACACGTTTCTGCCTACATGCTTTTGGCGTGACAGCTGATTTACAAGTGTCTCTTTCCCTGCTTCATGCTCCACATTTCCTGACGGCTCCTCATAATTCTCTCTCCTCTCCCCATTACCTGTTTGGGGGTAGAAGAAATAGAAAGTGTTGTTCAAATTGCAAGGTAGAAGCAGAGACTCTCATTGAGGATTGAGCCTAGTTCTCTGCCTCGTCTACCATTTTCAAGCACGTCCCCCACTTATCTCCCCACACAGCTGACTCTGAAGTTAATTTCTCAAGACAACACCACGAGGCCCTTCCTGCTCCACCTCACACAAGCTGTCACCTCGCACTTCTGTGTCTGATTATCTCTCCCCTTTCTAAGAGCACCATCCAATTGGATTGTCTCCTTCCACCCAAGCGATGAAGTCTGGTTTGGGAAATGTTTTCAAAGCGGCCAGTTAATTCCGAGTGCAAAATACCCAGACATGCCAAGCCCTACTACTGCCATGGCTCCCTTCCCAAAATAAGGGAAAGGCAAGATCTTAACACTCCGTCTGAGGGATAGAAGAAGGGTGCATGGTCCCAGCAGAATCCACCTGGCACTTGGGAAGAGGATCTCACTGTACTGTACATTAACCTCAGAGGCAACGCGGAGGCTATTTTAAATTTAAACCTCAGACTGGATGGCGTCTCTGCTCTTTAGAAGAAAACTCAGTTGGACCCTGTGCAGGCAGCTTTTTACAGCCTTAGGGCCGGGTGCTTGCACTCTGTGGGACCAGAGGCAGAACTGGGTGTAACAACGAATGTAAATGCAACCTTTGGACAGGAGCAGTTTCTACACACACCCTTCTCTTTCTTCCACCCAGGCAAGCAAGAAACACCTTCAAATTTCAAGGACATAACCCAGGAAGGAAAAAAGGAGTCAAGGAGGATGTGAAGCAGAGGTGGTCATGGTCATGGCCTGGAGACAGCAGTGATGGGGGAGAGAGAGAGTCCCATAGGCTGCCCCCCCCAGGTCTATTTAGTCCCAGAGTCCTAAAGGAGCCAACTAGATGCTGACAGGAAGCCCAGAAGCAGGTCATAAAGGCAACAGGCTTCTGCTCTCTCTCTTTCCAGAGGAAAAAAAGGACCCCAAAATGCAGCTAAACACCTACCTTCTGATATCTCCCCTTCTTTAGGGACCAGGAGAAATGGATCTTGTCTTTCTTCCCAACAGGAACTGAGGTCTGATTCTGCCAAGGAAAGCGATAATATTAGCTCCTTTTGGCCACAAATCACCTGGCCGTTTCAAATCAATCTGTATCTACGACCGCAAAGGCAAAGAGGAGGGATTACCATATCCGGATCCTATAAAGACACGCAATGTGAAAAGGATAGGGCCGTGTGGTCCCCACTGTCACAAGGGGTGTGCGTGTGAATATATAGATGCTGCTTCAGAGAGCAATGCTGCAAATATCGTAGAGTACATCTGCAAAATGGGGATCCAAGCGGGCTATTCTTCTTATATTCCTACTCTGCATGAATACATGGCATAAAGAGCTGCTTGACACCTTCAACGTCTAGTAGTCCAGAGGCATAAAAAAGTGCCCTTACCTAAAGAGGCCACCATCTCATAATTCTCCTCCATGACTTCCTTGTACAGAGCTCTTTGGCCTGGATCCAACAGAGCCCACTCCTCCTCCGTAAAAAACACAGCCACCTCCTCAAAGGTCAAGAGGGCCTGGAAGAAGAAGAGGAAGAAGAAGAAGAAGAGGAGGAGGAGGAGGAGGAGGAGGAGGAAGAGATAACTTCTCTTAGATCCCCTTCATCCCTGTCCGTTTCGTTGGTTGGTCGTAAGCCTCTTTGGATCGCCCTGGGCAAGATAAATCCACTAACATAAATACAGTGGTACCTCTGGTTAAGAACTTAATTCATTCTGGAGGTCCGTTCTTAACCTGAAACTGTTCTTAACCTGAGGTACCACTTTAGCTAATGGGGCCTCCCGCTGTCGCTGTGCTGCCGCCACGCGATTTCTGTTCTCATCCTGAAGCAAAGTTCTTAACCCGATGTACTATTTCTGGGTTAGAGGAGTCTGTAACCTGAAGCGCCTGTAACCCAAGGTACCACTGTAATAACAAATATTCCCCACGCAACACAGAGGGAGGCTGGTTTGTCCCCCTCCCTTCCTCTTCTCCTCTCTCCTCCCCACACCCGATACTCTTACCCTACCTGAGGGAGCTGCCTGGAACCTCTTTCCATCCCACCCCTAAGATGAGACGGTCCAAACGGTGCCTCTGAGGCCATTGCGCTGCCTGTGGAAGACAGAGGGAATGGAGGCGTAAACTGGGACACTCCTGGGACTCTCTCAGGTGTTACCACGATGCACTTCAAAGCAGGAAGCAGCTCTCAAGTCAGGCCACTCCTGGGCCTGCAGGGGAAAGACAGGGAACGGGAAGGATGTCATGAACATAATGATATGAAAAGTTGCTTCTGTTTTTAGGGGATTGTGGTTTGGGGGGTGGAGGCATGCTGACGAACTATGGCGCCCCAGGCCTTCCTCTAAGGAATGTACATATGTGTGTACATCTTGGTCAGCCTATAGCATTAGGAGGCCCTCCTGCCAACCTGAATGTTTTCAAGGCAAGCGAGGAGACTGGGCAGGAGTGAGGCTGGCAGCAATAGAGGACAAAGACCTTCAGCACCCCTGTGCTGCGCCAGTCCTGCAAGAGGGGCCAGATCCCTCCCCCATGCCCACCCACGCCGGCTTTCATCTGCCCCCAACAATCTTCCCAGAGGATGTCTAGAGAAGCCTCTTTTTGGAGACAGCATCAAAATCTGCTGGGGGGTAATGTATTTCTTCCTCCCAAGTCCAAAACTGGGGAGTGGGCATTTATTTAATCCCTCCAGTCTTTTGCCTTGAGGCTTTCAAAAGTGCCTTTAAGATCCCAATCAATTTCAAATACCGCCATCCATGCACCCATTTCCCTTGCCTAGCGGGACGGAGACAGACCGGGTGTTTTTTCAGGCTCCAGGAAATCCAAAATTTGCCCCTTCCCTCCTGTTTTGAAGCAGGGACTCCTCCCTAGTTGCCTCCCCCCTCAACATGAGCAACCTCAACCTTTGTTCCAAGGAAACTACAGTCCCTTATCTACGAGTTTTGAAAGGGGAGCTGGGGGGCTTCCCCCCTCCCCAAAAACCCACATTTTGCTTCCCTTTGACTCTTTCCAAAAGCAGCCTCTTTCTTGCTAAGGAATCTCACAAGATGATCGAGGGTCTGCAAACCAAGCCTTATGAGGAACGGTTGAAGGACTTGGGTATGTTTAGTCCGGAAAAGAGGAGACTGAGAGGAGATGGGATAGCCATTGTCAAATATCTTAAAGGCTGTCACGTGGAGGAGGAGGGTGCATGCTTGTTTCTGTCCTGCTCTGGAGGGTAGGACTCGAACCAAAGGCATCAAGTTACAATGAAGGCGATTGCGGATAACACCAGGAAAAAGAACTTCCTGACAATAAGAGCTGTTCAACAGTGGAACCGTCTCCCTCTGGAGCTAGTGGACTCTCCTCCTTTCCTCGGATGTTTCTAAGCAGAGGCTGGAGGGCCATCAGTCCTGGATGCTTTAGCTGAGATTCCTGCATTGCCGGGGGTTGGACTAGATGACATTTGGGGGTCCCATTCCAAACTCTATCTAAGGCCGACTTCCTTTAGCATTTTGTCTGCTCCTCAGCTGCTGTGGGTTAAACCACAGAGCCTAGGGCTTGCCAATCAGGTCAGCGGTTCGCATCCCCGTGACGGGGCGAGCTCCTATTGCTCGGTCCCAGCTCCTGCCAACCTAGCAGTTTGAAAGCACATCAAAGTACAAGTAGATAAATAGGTACCACTCCGGCGGGAAGGTAAACGGCGTTTCCATGCGCTGCTCTGGTTCGCCAGAAGCGGCTTAGTCATGTTGGCCACATGACCTGGAAGCTGTACACCGGCTCCCTCGGCCAGTAAAGCGAGATGAGCGCCGCAACCCCAGAGTCGGCCACGACTGGACCTCATGGTCAGGGGTCCCTTTACCTTCAACAGCCCCACCTCCTATTCAAAATCTCCTCCATCTCCCGCAACCCAAAGGCGACTCTGCTCTCCAGCTCTGGGGCTGCAAAAGCAGCTCACCAAGCCCCCCCCCCCATATAGGGGGCGGCTTCTACTGCGCCAAAGCCTTCCTCCCCGCTGCTGTCTTTCCACCCCAAGGGGGCTTTAGCAAAGGAGCGGAGGGAGGAGGCGAGTGGAGGGCGATTGCAGATATAAACGAGAGCGCTATTAGATAGGAGGGACAGAGCAAGACTTACTTCTGAGTAAACATGCATGAGACTGGGCTGCACAGCAGTGCTTCCCGAAGAAACGAGATCCACTTGGGAGGCGTATTACAGATCCTAAGAGGGAAAAGTGGGAGCAGGGAGATTTTCCTTTGCAAAGGGAATCCTTTCCCTCTCCCCTCCCCCCGCCAGCTGCTTGCAGATTCAGGTGCAAGGAAAGCGAATCTTTCCCCTCCTCTCCCCCACCAACCCCGAAACACCCCCAAAGACGCAGCGCCTCTTTCTCCTCTCCAGGCCTCCTCCTTGCCTGGGGATGTGCATGGAGACCCCTCCCCTCCCATTCAGCCTCTACAACCCCACCCCACCCCTGCCACCCCAAACTTCCTGCCTCTCTAGGAAGCGGAGCTCATTGACCCTGGGAGAGGAAGGGGGGGAAGTGGCAGGAGATCCGCCCTCCCCCTCCCTGCAAACAAAAATCCCCATTTGTTTTGTGAGAAGGTCGCTGGTTCGATCCCCGGTAGCGGCACGGAAAGAGACCCAGCCACAGCCCCCACCTCTGGAAAAATTACTCCTGGATCTGAAGGTGACACAGGTTTACAATTAACTCTGTTAATTGGGGGGGGGAGAGATCCCGCCACTGTGACACCCATTTTCCAAGGGGAGTGTCGCCCTGCAAAGTAGGCCGGTGTTGTCCTTCCCGTTTTGCTGGAGGGGGTCAAAGTCAGTTCCTTGGCGGGGGGGGGGGCAGCTCAATGACAGAGGAGATGCTTTGCATGTATAGGGAAGCCCCAGGTTCGATCTCCGACCCTAAAAGAGGGCAACCCACCCCCACCCCCATTTTCAATTCTCCGCTGTGGGGAGGAGACCCGCCCCGTCCGACTCCAACCATGTGCAGACCCTAAGTGCAGGGGGGGGAAAGCTGCTTTACTGGGGGGAGGGGGTACTTTCCCCCACACACCCAGCACCCAATTTTAATCTCGATCAGCCTGCAGCAATTGCCCCCACGGTAAATGGAGCGTGGAGGGGGGACATAGCTGTCAACTTTTCCCTTTTCTTGCGAGGAATCCTATTGGGAATAAGGGAATTTCCCTTAAGAAAAGGAAAAAGTTGACAGCTATGGGGGGTGGGGCGTGTTGCAATTTCCCAACGGAGGCCAAAGAGGAAGAGGCAAAAGGCAGCGCCGTCACGTCCGACTCCCATCCGAGCGCAGGGCGTAGGGAGCAGAGGGAGGTCTTAAAAGGGGGGAGGAGGAGTATCAGTGGAAAGCACACCCTCCTTCCGCGTTCATATTGCAAGGAAGGTCATCGGAATAGCGAACAAAGGAAGCGGGTGGCCAGAGAAGACAAAGAGGTAAAGATGCAGCAAAGGGGGGGGGGACGGCGGCAAAGAGACCCCCCTCCCAAAAAAACCCCCAGCGACAGGGGCCTGGATCTATGCAATACAGCTGCCAACCCAACATTTGCAGGGTTTGCATTGCACGATCTCCTTTCGCGCACCCCCCCCAACACGCGTTTTCCTTGGGAGGGGGGGGCAAGAGATACTCAGCTGCCCTGCACTCTTCCCCCCCCCCTTTCTGGCGCCTGTGCTGGAATTGAAATGCGGTGCCCACCATTAGGGGGTCCTTGCGGGAGCCCCCGTCCCCAAGCAGGGCTGTGTTTGAACCGAGGCCTCAGACGTGACCCCGACGCTGCGGATTCCGGTTTCTCCCAGGCAGGGATCCCTGGGGCGCGCCTGGCTCCGCGCGTGTAGCGAGAGGCGCATCCGTGTCGCGTGGGGCCCTTTTGGCGGTAGAGACGGAGCCAAGCCTTTCTCCACATGTGGGTCCCCAGATGTTGTTGAACTACAACTCCCATCACCCCTAGCTAGCAAGGCCAGAGCTCAGGGACGATGGGAGTTGTAGTCCAACAACATCTGGGGACCCACAGGTTGAGAAACGTGGTCCACGCAAGGGTTTAAGGAAGCGGATAGAGACCCACCCCCACTTTCTTCTTCTGCTTATCCCCCCTCTGTGTTCTTCTTGCGAAGCCCCTCCAGGTGGAGAGGATGGCACGCTGGGGAGCTCAGCTGTCAACTTTTCCCTTTTCTTGCGAGGAATCCTATTCGGAATAAGGGAATTTCCCGTTTAAAAAGGGAAACGTTGACAGCTATGGCTGGGGAGACCTTGGGCGCGCAGGGGAGAATCCGGGAAGTAGGGGGACAGTGGATGTTTTGGGGGGGGCTGGGGAATGAATAGAAGCATCCTTTGGGAAGATAAGAACAGCCAAGCATCGGCAGAGAGAAAGATAAGAGGCAGAGGTGGCCTTTGGTGTGGGAGATGGGGGCGGGGGTCCAGAGGGCATGGGCGTAGCCAGGATTTATGGGGGGCACATTTTGGGGGCAGGGCAGAACCGAATTGTCTGTGATACAATTGGTCAGTTAGTTAAGTATTTTATTTATTTACTTGATGGGGGAACTGCCTCCCTGCACCCCCCTGAAAAGAGTGGTTAAATTCCCCCACCCCCACCCCAGGTTTTCAGGGTGTGTGTTTTTTGTTGTTTCATAAAATTTCATTCAAACTTTTTCATAATACCATATGATTAAAAAAAAACCACAAAATTAATTTAAATGACAACAAAAAGAAAGAAAGAATACAATGTCTACCTGTCTCAAAGCAGCGTTTGAAATTCCCGTTGTTCTGGGCAAATTTTGCAAAAGGGAATTTCATTAGCATGAGCAGTTTCTGAGCTCTGGGCACAGTACTGCACCTAAGATTTCAGATTAAAACTGCAGAGTGGAAGGAAAGGAGGACCTTTTCTGCCTCCCCACTTCCAGCCACTCTCTGAATTCTGGAGAAGAGACCATCTTAAGAATATTAGGGGAGCAGGCAGAAGAAGCATGGATTTGTTTTTTGCAGCCCAGACATTCCGTTGTTGTGCCCATAACCTAAATGGAAGGTGCCATTTAGCTGCTAGCTTTCATATATCAGTTTCTAACGCTGTCTCAAAGGTAGATCTTAACCCTTGTCTCACACAGAAAGGGGAGGGACCTCACCTGGGGGCTTCCATTTCTTCTCCCAGCTTGAAACCATGGGAGACCGTCCATTTCCAGCTTTTCACACAGGGTCCTTCACCAATCATTCAACACCTTCAGGTGTGTACACAGCCCACAAAAACATGAGTCATAATATGTCCATTACCCTTTAACTTGTACCAATAATTGTGGTACATGGAGGATGCTGTGAAAATGCTTTTAGGATTTAATAATAATAATAATAAATAATAATAATAAATTTTATATATATCCCGCCCTCCCCAGCCGAAGCCGGGCTCAGGGCGGCTAACAACAATAAAATAGTACAACATTCTAAAAACATTTCATTATAAAAATTAATTAAGATCAAATTGATGGCAACCATTAAGCTAAAGTTCTGTGGAGATTGCCAAAGGAGGGAGTCATGCTGCGCCCTGACCAAAGGCCTGGTGGAACAGCTCTGTCTTGCAGGCCCTGCGGAAAGATGTCAAGTCCCGCAGGGCCCTAGTCGCTTGTGACAGAGTGTTCCACCAGATTGGAGCTGCAGCCGAAAAAGCCCTGCCTCTGAGGCTAGCCTAAACACTCTGTGGCCTGGGACCTTCAGGATGTTTTTATTTGAAGACCGTAAGTTCCTCTGTGGGACATACCAGGAGAGGCGGTCCCGTAGGTACGAGGGTTCTAGTCCGTAATATAGGGCTTTAAAGGTTAAAACCAGCACCTTAAACCTGATCCTGTACTCCACCGGGAGCCAGTGCAGCTGGTATAGTACCAGGTGAATGTGATCTCGCAGCGAAGACCCCCGTAAGGAGTCTCACCACGGCATTCTGCACTCGCTGGAGTTTCTGGGTCAGTCTCAAGGGCAGCCCCACGTAGAGCGAGTTACAATAATCCAGTCCGGAGGTGACCGTCGCGTGGATCACAGTGGCTAGGTCAGGGCGAGAGAGGTAAGGAGCCAACTGCTTAGCTTGGCGGAGATGAAAAAATGCTGCCTTTGTTATAGCTGTAATCTGCGCCTCCATGGAGAGGGAGGTATCGAAGATTACACCCAAACTCTTAACGGACGGTGCTGGCACTAATTGCACCCCCGCAAGAGATGGGAGGATTTAACTTCAACCGGCTCCCACGTAACCATCCAGCCACAGCTTCCAAACATCTGATCAGTGTGTCGGGCCGAGTCAGGATGGCCATCCATCAACAGATAGAGTTCGGTGTCATCAGCATACTGATGGCAGCCCAACCCAAAACTCCGGACAAGCTGGGCGAGGGGGCGCATAAAGATGTTAAAAAGCATTGGGGAGAGTATCACACCCTGAGGCACACCACACACCAAGGAGTGGCGCGATGACAATTCCCCCCGAAGCGCCACCCTCTGTCCCTGACCAGAGAGAAATTTATATATTGAAATCATCTTCATTACTTCTGGTTTTTGGTAGAGTGAGTTCATAGAATCATAGAATAGAATCATAGAATCATAGAGTTGGAATAGACCACAAGGGCCATTGAGTCCAACCCCCTGCCAAGCAGGAAACACCATCAGAGCACTCCTGACATATGGTTGTCAAGCCTCTGCTTAAAGACCTCCAAAGAAGGAGACTCCACCACACTCCTTGGCAGCAAATTCCACTGTCGAACAGCTCTTACTGTCAGGAAGTTCTTCCTAATGTTTAGGTGGAATCTTCTTTCTTGTAGTTTGGATCCATTGCTCCGTGTCCGCTTCTCTGGAGCAGCAGAAAACAACCTTTCTCCCTCCTCCATATGACATCCTTTTATATATTTGAACATGGTTATCATATCACCCCTTAACCTCCTCTTCTCCAGGCTAAACATGCCCAGCTCCCTTAGCCGTTCCTCATAAGGCATCGTTTCCAGGCCTTTGACCATTTTGGTTGCCCTCCTCTGGACACGTTCCAGTTTGTCAGTGTCCTTCTTGAACTGTGGTGCCCAGAACTGGACACAGTACTCCAGGTGAGGTCTGACCAGAGCAGAATACAGTGGCACTATTACTTCTCTTGATCTAGATGCCATACTCCTATTGATGCAGCCCAGAATTGCATTGGCTTTTTTAGCTGCCGCGTCACACTGTTGGCTCATGTCAAGTTTGTGGTCAACCAAGACTCCTAGATCCTTT